CCTGCCAGTTTTATGAAACTCACAGAGTGTTATAAATAGTGTGGGTGTTTTTCCTCTATGGTTAAAAATTAGGAGATTTCATTTTTTTAAAAAAATCAAGATTTTTTACTTTGTCTTTTAAAAATGTTACTACCACTCAAACGTGCACTCATTCCCAGGGCCAATTCACTATTTTTATTAGCAGACTTGGTCGATATATGTTTGCTACTCTAAACTTCCAGTTTCAGTTTGTCTAAATTGAAGATCATTATGCCAACCTACTCCGTGTGTGTGTGTGTGTGTGTGTGTGTGTGTGTGTGTGTAAAAGTAATTTTAAAAGTTAAAACTGTTGAAATGTAGGGTCATCTGATGGTTTTTTAGTGATGAGTTTTTTTCTTACCGGTTTTGTGTGGGAGCTATGAAAATGATTTTATCTTATTTACTTTTTTATTCTCTGTGTTCTTTCCCCTGCTCACCTTTTTTATTGAGCAGTTGAATGTGTAGCCTATCTTCAACTTGCATTGATTTATGAGCACACTATGTTAATCTGGAGAGACTGATTTTTTTTTAAATAATCAAGTTTTTGGCGTAGGAAAGACTGTATCATCTGGCTGACATTAAAATAGTTGCAAGAGTCTTTAAGTGCTGGAAACATTGTGACATTTCTCCAGGATATCCTGGTTACTCAGGCTGCTGCGAGTTTGTTGTTGGAATTTCAATGTCCTTTGTCATTCTTTGCTCTAGGGTGTAATGACTTCTGCAATGTTTGGGTTTCTAAACTGTACTAGAGGCTAAGTATATAAATAAAGCTTGGGAATCCTGCGAGTAAGACTAGGAAAAGGAAGCACATGTCCAAGTGAGTTTTCGTGATTTGAGGCCTGGGCTTGTCAGCATTGAAACATTGAAAGGAGAAGTAATGCAGTTGGGATCCTGTTGCTTCAGTTGCTTGTTCTCCCATCACTGCTGGTTCAATACCTCCCAGGTTTTGAAACATATGAAGGTCCGGAGTTCTCACAGGGACTCATCTGTGCAGATGGTGATTTTAGAAAACGGGGGTGGTGGGAAGTCCTGGGAATGTCTGAGGTATTGTTCAGCCAAAAAATAACTTTGTAGCATGATTTCAAAAACCACACCAGTCTCAAGAATTTCCAGTCACTGTGTGTGTGTGTGTGTGTGTGTGTGTGTGTGTGTGTGTGTGAGAGAGAGATACTATTTTCAACTACAGTGTGTGTGAGTCTTTATCCTAGAGAGTCAATGCTTCTTAAGCCGCATCTCTGCTGGTGTATCATGTATTTGTTTATTCACTTTCAACAGAAACAGCCATTTCCTTACTGGTTGAGTGTGCTACCGTATTAGCTATTGCTGCCTGGTGAATTACCGCAGAACTTTGTGACTTAAAACAACGGTAAACATTGTCTCAGACCGTGTCTGTGAGTTAGGCATCTGGAAGTTGCTTAACTTGGATGGGTCTGGTCTGGTTCTGGATTGTCTGGGCAGCCCTCACCTGGAGGGTCCACATCTAAGAGGACTCAGTCACATGCCTGGCAGGTTAGTGCCGATTGCTGGCAGGAGGCCTCACTTCCATACCATATGGGCTGCTTGAATAGCCTCCCAAAATGACAGCTTGCTGTACCCAGAGCAAGGTTTCTAAGAGAAGGCAAGACAGGAGCTACCTCTTTTATAATCTAGCCTCCAAAGTCACACCCTATTACTACAGTATCCTGTTCTTGACACAGGGGCACCTAGTTCACTGTGGGAGGGGACCACACAAGGGTGGAAATGACAGCAGATGTGACTCTTTGGGGTTGTCTGGGAAGCTGGCAATCACAGCTGGTCAGCAGCTTTCTTGGTCATCATTTGTTGCTTCCTGTTCTTGACTAGCACTGTGGAATTAGAGTGGGCAATCTGTAGGTATAGCTTCTCGTGAAAATATATGCCAAGTGTCCAGACTGCTGGAAGTACGGTGATAGATCATAAGTTGCATCAATTTACAGTTTACTAATCTGAGAATTTGTGTTAATGTAGGAGTCATTTATAGGATTCTTCTTCAGTAACAAATTTAGGATTATTTCATTTGGGAAGGCCTTTTGAATTGGCAAGATGAGTCGGTGTAAAAGTAAAAGCTACTTCCTTCATGGCTGGCCAAAAAAGAAAAAAAAGTAAAAGTTATAGATTGGCAAATATGTCTTTGATAGTTATGTAAGTGGGTTTATTCTGCATCTGTAAATTTCCCTCAGTTTATCTAATTATACTTTTTATTTATGTGAAGGCATTTCACAACTGGATTTTTAAATCACAGTCTTTTAAAGTTCATCATCAGGAATTCAGGGTTTTTTCCCCCACAGGAAAAAATGTTACATTGTTCTTGTGTTCTTTGAATGGAACTAGTGTTCCAAGGCTAAACCGCAGTCCTTGATGTATTAGAGACTATTTTTGTTGTGAAAGTTAGGAGAAAGTAATACCATTGCAATTTTACTAATGTAAGAACCCAAAGAACTACAGTCACAAGCGGGAGACAGTATCTTAAGTTGATGCTTAAGGAAAAATTTGTATAATTTGAGAGAAGGCCTCAGAAATTTCGAGAAATTCCAAAATGGGTCTCTAGATTTCATTTTAGTACACAAATGAATCAACCCCTATTCTCATTCTCATTGGCTTCAAGGTGTTTTTTATTTGGGTTTTTTTTTTTGGGGGGTTTAGGGATGTGTGTGTGTGTGTGTGTGTGTGTGTGTGTGTGTATGTGTACGTGTGCTTACTGCAATCTCCGCCTCCTGGGTTCAAACGATTCTCCTGCATCAGCCTCACGAGTAGCTGGGATTACAGGCACCTGCCACCATGCCTGGCTAGTTTTTTGTACTTTTACTAGAGATGGTGTTCACCGTGTTAACCAGGATGGTCTCGATCTCCTGACCTTGTTATCCGCCCACTTGGCCTCCCAAAGTGCTGGATTTACAGGTGTGAGCCACCGTACCCGGCCAGTTTTAGTTGTTGTTGTTGTTGTTGTTGTTGTTGTTGTTTTAATCAGCTAGGAAGTCTTAAAATAGAATGGAGAAAATAAAAGACTTACATTACCTGGTAAGTATAAGAAGAAGCATAGATACATTGGAGACTGGAAGGGAATAAGGGAATCTGGAAAGAACAGGCTGGATTTTTTTAATGTTTTAATTTTCATGAAGTAGTTGTTATGATGCTTTTCCAAATAATAAAATAAAGTCAACTTATAGGTTGATACTTAAAAAGATCTGTGTGTAGACCAGGCATGGTGGCTTAAGTGCATGTCTGTGTATAGACCAGCACTTTGAGAGGTCAAGGTGGGCGAATCACCTGAGGTCAGGAGTTTGAGATCAGCCTGACAAACATGGTAAATCCCTGTCTCTGCTAAAAATACAAAAAACTAGCCAGACATGGTTGTGCACACCTATAGTTCCAGCTACTTGGGAGGCTGAGGCAGGAGAATTGCTTGAACCCAAGAGGCAGGGTACAGTGAGCCAAGATTGCGCCGTTGGACTCTAACCTGGATGACAAGAGTGAAACTCCAGCTCAAAAAAAAAAAAAAAAAGATGAAACAGGAACAGGCCAGACATTGGGAAAATTTTCCGTTTATGAGTCTTAAATCAGAAAATTGGTGAAATGCCCTTTGAAAGCTGAGTCAGTGCTTATGACTAGTTTTAGGTTATGTCTGTTTCCGAGTTTCTAAGATCCTTGCTGGATTTTTGAGTTTTGAAAAAATTTTCTTAGTCCAGTAGTACTTTCACATTGATATTAACTTTTATGTAAAATTTTAAATTTTCCTAACTATTGTAAGTAGATTTGGGTTCAGCTGAGTAAATCTAATGAATCAGACTGGTGTGTAATGAAACCATAAGACATGGGTCCCAACTTCAGAATGCTTCTCATTTGGTTGAGGAAACAGGTCACATGTATCATGTTAGCTAATGGAGATGAAAAGTTTGCAGTTAACTTTATTTAGTGATTTATTCTTTTGTCAGTGAAATTTAAAATATATTTCCCTGAAGTAATCTTTGGAATTCAACCTAATTTTAGTGATAATATGTGTGTTAGATTTAATGCTATGTCTCCCCCCCATTCCCCGTCACTCCAGCCTTCCATCCATGAGTTGAAAGTGCCCTGCAGGAAGATTCTGAAGTCCCAGGCAAACGTAATAAGGGGTAGGGAGAGGACTTACTTAGATAGATGCTGGTGAAAGTCTCCAACTCCACATTTCTAGAACAAACGGGTTACATGGAAGGAGGAGTCAGAGATATATTAGACATAATATACTACTGTAACACTAGAGGCGAGAAGGCATTGGAACGTTATCTATAAACTTTAGAGAGGAAATGACTGCAGACCAAAAATCCTATGCATAGTCAAATAATAAATATCAAGGGGAAAAGTTTTTTTTGGAAATGCAAGGAGTACCAACTATAGACCTCAAATGCTGAAGAATATGCTTGAGGTATTTTCCCAGATTAAAGTCCAAGCATAGCATCGTTCCAAAGACAAAAGAAGCAAATGAGAGTTTGAACAGGTGCAGTTTGTTAGTAAACTTGTTTGGTCTTGCAAGCACTTACACCTACATGGATGGAGCTAATCACAGTTTCTGTTCTGCTTTTGTGTCTCTTTCCAACTCACCCCAGTCTAACCCCATCCGCATCTCCTATACACTGCTTAGTTGTCATTTCAGTGGACTTTCAGGAAGGAGGCGAGGTAAAAGCATGTGATGAATCTACCGTCTTGATTTGGAAAATATGTTTTTAAAAGGCTTTGCTTCTTACCACAAAAGGTTGCTGTGAAGAGTTATTGGTTAGGGCTCATACTACAAGCAACAGAAACCAGCAATGGAGGATTTAAACAAAAAAGAAATCTATGGAAAGGATTCTGGGTGATTCCTAGGCTCTTGGGGAAGGCTGGAGAACAGGCTTGATTGGTTGGGAATTGGACAAAATTTACTTCACAGTGACAGCACTGTATCTTCATTTAGAAATAAATTGCCTTTTTCTTTTTTTTTTCAAATATAGGTTATATATTTGGGAAGAACTCCAGAAGAAGCATATAGAATATTAATCTTTGGAGATACATCCTATATTCCTTTCAGGTAAATATAAGAATGATGTGGTAGAGTCAGGTAATCATATTCTTGCCAGAAATATCTTGATAGTTGTTTCTGGAAAATGAAGATCTGGTAATTAGTCATTTTAGGGTGAGCACAAATAACACCACAGATCTGGGTTTTCCAGCAGTGACTCTATTGACCTTTTGTGATGGGGGCTATCTTGTGCATTTGTAGGACATTTAGTGGCATCTTTGGCTTCTGCCTACTAGATGCTGGTAAAATCCTCACACCTACTCTAGTTGTCAAAACTTGGAATGTCTCCAGACATTGCCATGTGTCTCTTTAAGTGCCCTTGGAGGATGGAGAGCAAAATCTACCCATGTTGAGAACCACTGCTGTTGATGAAAACGAGGTATTGGCAGGGCACAATGGCTCATGCCTGTAATTCCAGCATGCTGGGAGGCCAATGTGGGATGATTGTGTGAGCCCAGGAATTCCAGACCAGCCTCGGCAACAAAGCCAGACCCCATCTCTACAAAATAAACAAAAAAAAAAAAAATTAACCAGGTGTGGTTGTGCATGCCTATAGTTCCAGATATGTGGGAGGCTGAGGCTGGAGGATTGTTTGAGCCTAGGAGCTTGCAGGTCCAGTGAGTGAGCTATGGTCATACCACAGCACTCAAGCCTGGCAATAGATAACTTGTCTCCAAAAAAAAAAAATCCAGAGTTTGAGACCAGCCTGACCAACATAGTGAAACCCCATCTCTACTAAAAATACAAAAATTAGCTGAATATGGTGGTACACACCTGTAATCTCAGCTACTCAGGAGGCTGAGGCAGGAGAATCACTGGAACCCGGGAAGCAGAGGTTACAGTGAGCTGAGATCATGCCACTGCACTCCAGTCTGGGCAACAGAGCAAGACTCTGTCTCAAAAAAAACAAAAACGAAAAAACAAAAACTTAGGCTTTGCAATCAGGTGAGAATTCTGGGCTGTGATACTCAAAACTACCACTGAGGAGTGTGGTTCCTGAGAAGTTAAGAAGTTTTCCCAATAATCATTAGTTACTTTCTGGGACCGAAATGAACCCCTTTTTTCTGGGGACACAGTCAGTAGAGACAGTGGGTGAGGTTGCTAATGCAGCACCACTCCCGGAAAAACCAGTCAAGTCACTGTGTCCCAGAAGTGGTAGATAATGAAGTCTACGGGAATGGATGGCACCCTCATCTCAAACTTAGAATCTGATTGTGTTGAAGATCCTTCGAGAAAACTGGTGCTTAAATCAAATTAAGTTCTAAAAATTCTTCTACTTGTTTATCAAAATACTTGACTTAGTTGTATAATTTAAATATTTGTATGGTGCTAATGGGTAATATGTGAAATATTTTTACTCATTGAAGACTTTGATATCTTCAAAAATGGCTTGTTCTTCCATTCACACATTAGTTCACTGCATATACAATGAACTGATAACTGTTGCTTATTAGTTCATTGTTCAAACTAGTTTATCGTATTAGCATTGTTACATATGTCACAAATGTCTGATTTTGAATGTAACACCCTCCCTTTAAAAAAGGAAGCTTGTTAATCTGACTTCATTTTAAATGAGCTTTCAGATGGGTATTTCTAATTATTGGCAAAATCTCCTTTTCAAATAACTTTATAGCACCACCTATGGACTTACTTCCTGAAATAACAATTTGTCAGGGCAGTCCGAAGACTTCAGTCATACACTGCATGAAAGATTGTAAAGATCTGTGATTTAGCAAATTAGAATTGGCTAGTGTCAGGCACAGTGGCTCATGCCTGTAATCCTAGCACTTTGGAGGGTCGAGGTGGGAGGATGACCTGAGGTCAGCAGTTCGAAACCAGCCTGGCCAACATGGCAAAACCCCATCTCTACTAAAAATGTAAATATTAGCCAGGCTTGGTGGCACATTCCTGTAATCCTAGCTACTTAGGAGGCTGAGGCAGGAGAATTGTTCGAACCCAGGAGGCAGAGGTTGCAGTGAGCCTACATCACACCACTGCACTTCAGCCTGGGTGACAGAGTGAGAACCTGTCTCAAAACAGAAAAAAAAGAATTGGCTTGAACCCAGTGTCAACCCTTTCCTGCTACCTCATGGTTCATCTTAAGTATTCTTTTATTTGAGGTGGGTAGGAAGGGAAGAGGGGAAGATAAAGGTCATTTTCTAAGCCGGAAAATTATTCTTCTCAACCTATAACATAACAGCAACCACATTCTTCCTCTAAAAGAAATGCTTGTATTTTTGGTCTTGCGTCACAGGCACCTCGGTCATCTCTTGTAGTGACGTTTGTTCTATAGAACTCTTCTTTATAATGATAATTCTTTGTGATGCTACTCTTAACATTTACAGCACAAGCTCCTGAAATAGGAATATGCTCACACATTTCACACAGTGCAAGGAAGGATCCATGGAACACTGTTGATGTAAAAAAAAAAAAAAAAAAGAGGTTTTGAGTTGATTTAAATACAGGTGCCAAAAATGGAATAAGCATTGCTTACTGCCTTGCTGTGTTTCAAACTATTGAAGTTTGGCACTGAGAAATGAAGTTAGTTCCTTGAGGTCCCAGGAGCATCAGTTAGTAATTCTCCGAAAGACAGGACTTAGCTAGAAACCATTCAGGTTTTTGAAATTTGAATCTCTTCAGTCATAGATACTGGGTATTTGATTTATCTAAACAGTGTTTCTTAAAGTGTTGCCTGTGAACTGGTGCCAGTCTGTGACATTTTGTTACCAGCCAGTGATGGGATAAATACAGATGTTGAGGGTAAGATTTTAGAAACATTTATAATTATTGAATAAAGCGATTTTATGTTTGTAGAATCAAATAATAGAAATTTCGGCTTCTATTTTGTTTTTTCCTCCTTTTACTTTTCTAGTAATTTATTTTATTTATAAAAAAATAAGATTATTGCCTTACTGCAGGTATGTAATAGTAAAGTACTATTGCATTTCATATTTATTGTATTTTATAAAAGTGTCAACCTATGATGGACTTAAAATTTTTAAGTTAGTGGACTTAAAATTTTTAAGTTACGATGGACTTAAAATTTTTAGTGCTTCTTCACATAGTTGTTCTGTAGAACTTACCAATTAGAAAGTACTCTAATCATAATTAATAAAGTCTGATAACATGTTGATAGAAATGACATTGTATTCTTTGTATCTTGCTGCTTTAAGTACATGGAATAAATTTAACCAACAAAGTATTGCTAACAAGACATTGTGCAAGAATGGGATTCATTTATAGTAAATAACTTCTTTTATGTTCCATAGCAATTTTTATTTAATTAGATTTAATTCAACTTAAATAGAATTTTTTTTTTTTTTTTGAGGCAGAGTCTTGCTTTGTCCCCAAGGCTGGAGTTCAGTGGCGCCATCTCGGCTCACTGCCACCTCTGCCTCCTAAGTTCAAGCAATTCTCATGCCTCAGCCTCTTGAGCAGCTAGAATTACAGGCATGTGCCACTGTGCCCAGCTAATTTTTGTATTTTTAGGAGAGACAGGGTTTCACTATGTTGCCCAGGCTGGTCTCAAATTCCTGGCCTCAAATGATCGGCCCACCTCAGCCTCCCAAAGTGCTGGGATTACAGGCATGAGCCACTGTGCCTGGCCTTCTTTACTGAGTTTTAAAGTGTGTGTGTGTGTTTGTGTGTGTATATGATTTCTTATTGAATTATATTAAATATTTCTCTGTGTCTGGTCTGCATAAGAAAATTGTATCAAATGTAGTTTAATGTTTTGTTTTAAATATCATAGGATCATTGTTATGAACAGCATGTATTTCTGTTCTCCGGTATTATCTATTTACAATACTCTTTGCTTCTTAGTTGTTTTTGTGTGGAGGTAGGTTGCCTCTGCCTCCTGTTTTCTTGAGAGGTAGTATTGCGTATTTGTTAATAGCTTGACTTGACATCAGACAGATGGGAGTTTGCTTTCATCACTGCTACTGGTATCTCTGTGGCCTTTTACAAATTTAAGCCTTGGTCTTCTAGTCTATAAATAGGAACAATAATAAAATCTCCCTCAAGGGGTTGTAAGGATGAAGTGACATCCTGCATATAAAACACTTGGTATAGGCTGGGCATAGTGGCTCTTGCCTGTAACTCCCAAGACTTCAGAAGGCTGAGGCGGGAGGACAGTTTGAGGCCAAGAGTTGGAAGACCAGCCTGGGCAACAGAGCAAGAACTTTTCTCCTTGGGTGAGGGGGGAATTAACTGGGCATAGTGGCATGTGTCTGTAGTCCTAGCTACTTGGGAAGCTAAAGCAAGAGGATCCTTCAAGCCTAGGAGGCTTCGGTGAGGTTTGATTATGCCTCTGCACGCCAGCCTGCACAACAGAACAAGACCATGTCTCTCCTTTTTTTTTTTTTTGAGATAGATTCTCACTCACTGCAACCTCTGCCTCCTGGGTTCAAGCTATTCTTCTGCCTCAGCATCCCAAGTAGCTGGAATTACAGGTGCCTGCCACCACACCCGGCTAATTTTTTGTATTTTTAGTTAGAGACAAGGTTTTGCCATGTTGGCCAGACTGATCTTGAACTCCTGACCTCAGATGAGCCACCACGCCCAGCCAAGACTGTGTCTCTTAAAAAAAAACAAGCACTAGATATAGTGCCTGGCCTTTAATATTTGTTAAATATTCCAACCCTCCCCCTTTTAAATTGACTATAATTTACATACATTTTAAAAAATCACTGTCTTGGTAAGGTGGTGGCTCACGCCTGTAATCCCAGCACTTTGGGAGGCTGAGGCAGGCAGATGACAAGGTCAGGAGTTCCAGACCACCCTGGCCAATGTGGTGAAACACTGTCTCTACTAAAAATAGAAAAATTAGCAGGGCATGGTAGTACACGCCTGTAATCCCAGCTGCTTGGGAGGCTGAGGCACGAGAATTGCTTGAACCCAGGAGGCCAAGGTTACAGTGAGCTGAGATTGCACTGTTGCACCCCAGCCTGGGTGACAAGAGCTAAACTCCATCTCAAAAAAAAAAAAAATCCCTGTCTCCTGGAAGATTCCCTCCTAACCCTAAAGTCAGTCATCACCCCCAGCTAACCACTGCTGTGACTTCTACCGCTGTCAGTTAGTTTTGTTTGCCTTTGAAATTCATATAACTGGTATGCATTTTGGGGAGCTGGCAACTGGATTTCACATATGTAATGTCTATGAGATGTACCTGTATTATGGCAGGTATCAGTAGTGCATCCTTTTTTATTGCGTTTGTAGCATTCCAACCTATGAATATACCACAATTTATTTGCCTGTGGTGCTTTTGATGGCTATTTGGGTCATTTGCAGTTTTGGGCTGCAATTAATACGAGCTGTTATGAAAGCTGCCAGTCTTTAAAACTAGTATTTGACATTGTTGTACAGTTTCTAAGCAATGCCCCTTTATTGATTCCCATGTGTTTTCCAAGTTTGTTAAATGACTTTGGTGACAAGGATCCCTCCCCAGTCCCCAAGGCTTATAAACCCAGCCTCAGAGATGCTGTTCTGCCATTGGAAGAAGACTGAATGCTTGGTGGGAAGGAGATGTAATGTGGGTGTGTCTAAAATTAGAGGTGCTAATGAAATAAACTTGAGTGAACGAAGATTCTTGTCGTATGTTCAGATTCTGTGATGTATGAGGCAGGAGGACTTAGCAGGGCCCAGATCAAAGCTTGTGAAATCATAGATTGGAGCGGGGCTGGGCCCCACGGTAGGTTCTCAAAAAAAAAAAAAAAGATGCATTGAAGGAATTTGCCAAAATGTCAGAGACTGAATCAACATGGATTTAACTTGATTGGAAAAGACTTATCAATAGGTTAAGAAGGTAATAATAGTCCTTAACAGAGGAGACATGGTTAAAATAGTTAAAATGGATAAAACTTGAGGGTTTACCCCATTTCCATGATAATTTTGATTTGGTTTAGGCTAAACTACTTCATTTTCCTGCTTAGCTTCTCTACCTAAATGGGTTTTTTATTCCATGAACACCCTTATTTCTACCAAACCAGGATTTGTGTTGATTTATAGGTCAGTGGTTCATAAACTTGAACATACACCACAGACACCTAGAAGAGCTATTAAGACACAAATTACCTGGCCCCACCCCAAGAACTTGGATTTCGTAGGTGTGGAGTGGCCCTGAGAATGTGCATTTCTAACGGGTGGGGTGGTCTTGGTGCTGCTGTCCTGGGGCCACTGCTGCAAGTCATTTTGGTTTTTTTCTTTCTGAATATTGCCAATAAGGTGTTGGTAAAATTGTGGTCTTTTTGGTTAGATAAAGACCTTTTCTAGGATGCAGAAGAGAAGTTTTTCAATTCAGAACCTTACAGAACAAAAATGGTGTGTTTTAAGACCTTGTGTCAGCTGAACATGGTGGCTCATGCCTATAATCTCAGCACTTTGGGAGGCTGAGGTGGGCAAGTTACTTGAGCTCGGGAGTTCGAGACCAGCCTGGGTAACATGGTGACACCCCCAACTCAACCAAAAAATACAAAAAATTAGCCAGGCATGATGGTGTGCATCTGTGGTTCCAGCTAGTTAGGAGGCTGAGGTGGGAGGATCACTTAAACCCAGGAAGTCAAGGCTGCAGTGAGCCATGATTGCACCACTGCATTCCAGCCTGGGTGACAGAGCGAGACCCTGTCTCAGAAAACAAAACAAGTCCCTGCATTCCGTCCTCATGAAAGTTCACATAGCTCAGTAATTCTAAGCAGCTCAGTCAGTAGCATTGAAGGCAATTTTAGCTGAAAAGGATGCTCTTTCCCTCACTTCTGTAGTCTCAGCCCTTAAGGTTTGGGGAAGAATTAAAAATATAAAATGTGGTTTAATTTTTATTGTAACATTTGTTGAATGTTCATTTTCCCCTTTTAAGTTGATGTATAACTTACAATTTTTAACAAAAATACTAATCTTAAGTGTACAGCAGTGAAGTTTTATATGTATGTATGTAACTACCACACAGTAAGAAATATTACAGTGTGAAGACCCAAATAAGGCAAGGAATTAGTCTTGGCTCTACCAGCAACCTGTTCTCCCAGAAGCAAATGAGTACCGTTCAGATAGGCACAGTTTTTCTGCATCCCTAGCTTAATTGTGATTAAAATAATTTTTATGTTGCCTAATTCTGGAAAATTTCATCTTGTAATGGCTCAAGGTAGCTGAAAAGGAGAAGCAGGTAGGGGTCACAGGTACCTTATTTCTCTGGGTAAAACCTTACTTGATATTAAGAGATTTGTATAGTAAGATTATTGGTTATGTGTTGATGCAGTGTTTGGGTGGAGTTGTCTGTAAAGTAATATAAGCATTTTCCCAAAACTGGAGTGATCCTGTGGAAGGTAGTTGACTTGTTAGTTCCCACGGTTTTATTGATGTTATTGTCCTTTAGTAGTCAGAAAGGTGTCAAAGCCTTATTGGTTTACACCTGTAATCTCAATACTTTGGGAGGCCGAGGTGAGAGGACTGCTTGAGGCCAGGAGTTTAAAACCAGCCTGGGCCACATAATGAGATTCCGTCTCTACCTTAACAAAAAAAAATTAACCGGATGCAGTGGTACATGCCTGTGGTCCCTGCTACGAGGGAGGCTGAAGTGGGAGGATCACTTAAACCCAGGAGTTTGAGGCTGCAGTGAGCTGTGATTGCACCACTGCACCCCAACCTTGGCAACAGGACAAGACCTTATCTCTAAAAGAAAATTGGAAAAAAATCAGAAGTTATCTGGGTAAAAGTCCTAGTGTATGATAGGAACAAAATGTTTATGACCTTCTACCAAGTATTTTAAATATGACCTTGATTTTTCAATATTTTTGTCCTACTTGGTTGGAGACACACACACACACACACACACACACACACACACACACACGATGCGTAATTAGACACATACACACATAATGTATATTACAGAATCAAAAAGCAGTCTTTCCCAATAACATTTTCATGTGGTATTTTTCAGTTTAAAGAAAAAATTCAAATGCTTTGCCCTTTTAGGGGGAGAGGTAGGTTATTATTGATTTGTTGAATTCAAGAAGGTAGTGCAGCTATTAAGGCCAAAACTGATCCAGAATGAACATTTGAAATTTAGGAAGTGGTCGTTATTGATCCAGGCCCATAAAACAGTACCTATTGGAATAGGTAGAAACTGCAGTGAAATTTATAATTTATTTATCTTTTATTTTAAAAAGTCAAAAGGCGAGACTTCTCTTTTTGTTAATGATTCTGAGTATATGTTTGATTTTAAATTCTAGTCAGCTTTGTCTTAGGCAAGTATAATTGCAGAAAATTAACTGATCTGTATTTCATTACTTTTGGGTTTCAGAGATGCTGCCTATGGAAGCTGCAATTTCTACATTACGCTTCTTGACTGTTTTCATGCAGTAAAGAAGGTAAGTGACATGTAGGGTGCACCCAGTGTTGTGTTGGGGGGACTAACATGTGGTCCAAGAAGACTAGGCCTTCTTCCCAAGATCTGTTTGGTAGCGTTTCTTCCAAGATGTATATGGTAACAGAGGTACTCCATTTCTCAACTAATGTTACAAGATCAAACCAGGAAACAGTTTATTCTGAATTTCTGAGTGCTTCTCTGTATGAGTTGGGGGGAAAAGTCACTTAAACAGGGAGAATCAGAGTTATGAAATTAGGTTCTAGATCCAGAATTGATTTTGAGTGTATTATGATCTAAAGGAACAAAAGTAAAGATGTCTGGTTTACTGGTAAGTTCTCTTTGATTTGTGTATTCTATGCACCTGATTCCCACCAATACCATTACAACAGACATAACACGGTAACTGTCCAACATTTCATTTTTGTATCGTCAGGCATTCAATTTCCAGTTCAACAGAATTTAAATGCCTCTATTGGTTTATTACACGGTTTTATATGAAATTAAGTAGGTCACTGCTGCTTTGTCAGACTATTTCCAAGTGATTCCTTGGGGTCTTAACCAGGGCTGCCGTGTTAATTCCAGGGGACACCCTGCATGTCACATTCTACCTGAACAGTGTCCCCTGGGGTTACACAGTGCAGCAAGTCCTGGTGTTAATGTCAGAACAGCACAAGAAACTAGAATGGTAAGTCAGTAGCCCATGGGTCAAATAAGCCTTTACAGCATCTCAAGTTTTCTGTAACTTGTGCTTTTATACCCAAAAGGAACCCAGGTTTACTTTCTTGTACGATGAAACCTGGTGGCTTGCCGGGAATTGTGACAGACATTTTATGACTTAAAATGAGAGGACTAATCAGCATACAAATTCAGAAACTAATTAGTATACTTTTTGCCTATATCAGTCAATGAGGTGTAGGAACATAATTTGTTTGGATTTGAGCCCAGTGACTGTGGGGTATGGAGCTGATTGGGGTAGTTGCCATGGGCTCTGAGGCGGCTCCATGGGCCCTCAGCTTCGGCGGGTACAGGGCACTAGAGGAAAGGAGACCAAAGGGCAGCAGGTTGCAGCTGCAGCCCCTGCCAGATGGGCTCATGCAGGTAGGCACACTCATTTTTAAAAAGAGAAAAGTAAAGCTTTAAGGGGTTTGGAAATGATCTATTATACCATATAGCAGCTTCTATTGTTAGTTTTTGGCTTTTTGTTGTTGTTGAGTATTGTACCGAAGTCAATTAGCTGGTATGATAGGTCAAAGATTGCCCTTTTCATACTATATTTTGGGGTTTTTTAAATTAAATCTTTATTTTTTATGCAATACTTGACTAATTTTTCTATTTTTTTTCTGGAGACAAGGTCTCACTATGTTGCCTAGGCTGGTCTGAAACTCGTGAGCTCAAGCGACCCAGTCACCTTGGCCTCCCAAAGTGCTGAGATTACAGTACCACCGCACCCAGCCACTATATTTAGTTTTATTTAAGGGTCACTAGTTTCTGATTTTCAGTGTAAACATATTTTATTTGTGACTGATTTTGAATATTGCATATATGAAGAAACATGCATCAATGTAATTGTGTTTTCAGTGTGATCTATTTCCAATAAGATCACCTCTTGAAATTCAAAGGAAAATAGGAATTCCTTATAAACTAAGGACTTGTTTAAGGAATTTTTTGTAACTGTTTCATTCCATTAGGAATATCTCTAGTCCAAAATCATGAAATATATCGAATTCAAGGAAATAAATTTTGATTGACTTAGTCTTGGGATTAGTGTTTAAATAATAAATAAAATGAAGACCTTTTTAGTTGGTATTCTAGTCTTCTTATTTTATATTTGCAGTTCAGTACAAATATAAAATTTTTTTTGGAAAACTGGTTTACAAAAGCCCCCTCTTTGAACCAAGAATACCTGGGGATCAAAAATTCTTCCTTCCCTCCTGTTTGGCTCAGTGATCAGCAAGCTGGGAGGACGTTTCTCAGAGGCTGCCAGCTCTGTTTGTCCTTGTCTCAGAAAATAGACACTGCTTATTTTGCCTAGCATACTGTGCCTGCTGTAACACAGAGTGAGGCTGTAGGATAGGGCAGAAAATGTTTTGTTTTATTCCTGTGGAAATAATAAATTTTTTTCCTAAAAATTTTTTATTTTAGTGTTGTTGTCTGAGCTGTGTTTAGTTTAGTGAACGTTGATTCAAGACTGTTCAAAAGAATTTGAAAATGAAGATATGGAGGAAGTGTGAGGGCTTTGTTTGGGATAAAGTAGCCCATGGATTCTCTTCTCCTTCTTAATGATGTAGAGACCACTGAGTTGTACATTATATTTGAATCCTAAACTTCTAAGTGTTCAACCAGGGGTGGTGGCGGTCTGGTGAGTCAGTGGGATTACTTTAAGAGCATGATTATTTATGCATGGATAGGATGATTGGTGAATGAAAATAAAAAAGTACATCTCACAAACAAAATCTAAACAAAACACAACAAACTCATTAAATATAGTTATAACTAATTCTAGGTAAGAGAAGCACTTAGAAGATGCCATCCAATTCCTTTGAAAGCTATTCAATGGAAAGTAATCTAATCATGACAGTTCTTTCTTGGGGTGCCTCTGATAGTTAGTACTCTGAAATTCAATAGGAAACTGTTTTCTTATTTGCATCCTTGTTCTTAAAAGCTTTCTTTGGATTTTAGGCAATGCAGTATGGCTTCCTTAATTTCAACTCATTTAACCTTGATGAATATGAACACTATGAAGTAAGTCTTCAAGGATCATATTTTCAACTCTTCCCCCTCCCCCCCCGCTGCTTTATTGAGGGGAATAATTGACAAATAAAACTTATATATACTTAAGATGTACAAAGTAATGTTTTGAAATATGTATACACCATGAAATGATTACCTAATCAAGCTAGTTAGCATATTCATCACCTCACATAATTTAGTCTTCTGGTATGTGCGATGAGAATACCTGAGATGTACTCTTGCAGATTTCAGGCACACAGTACATACGTTAGACCTCCAGAATTTACTCATCCTCTGATGCTTTGTATTCTGACCACAATTTCTCTGCCTGTTTTTAATTTTTCTTTTTTTAAATTAAGAGACAGAGAGAGAGAGAGAGACCAAGTCGCTCTGTTACCTAGGCTGAAGTGCAGTGGTGTACATGGCTCACTGCAGCCTTGAACTTCTGGGCTCAAATGATCCTCTCTCCTGAGCCTTCCAAGTAACTGGAACCACAGGTGCATACCATCGTGCTAGCTAAGTTTTTTATCTTTATTTTTGTAGAGACAGGGTTTCACTTTGTTGTCCAGGCTAGACTTGAACTCCTGACCTCAAGCACTTCTCCTGCCTTGGCCTCTCAAAGTGCTAGGATTACAGACATGTGCTACTGTGCACGGCCCTGTTTTTAGCTTTCTTATTTCACTTACAGAAGAAGCAATATTCTTGTTTTGTTTTATATGTGTATAGAGTGAAAAAAAGTCAAGTATTCATCTTTTTATCCCTATTTCTTCAGTCCCAATTCTTAGTGGGAATTTCTGTATTTAATGCACAATTCCAGAGTAAATGAGTGTGCCCCTGTGTGTTCTTTATACTGTTTGGTTTAAATGTATTTTAGTATTGCCATACAGTGATTGACATGTTTATAAAACCCTTAGCATAGAGTATGATGAGATGAATGGTCACTATACACCTAATTATCTCTGGAAAATATCTTTGTTTTTGCCATAACCGTCTTTGTCAGGACACTTCTGGTTGCAAGTTATAGAAAGTAAATACAAATAGCTTAAATAAAAAATGAAACATTTGCCAGGCACAGTGGCTCATGCCTGTAATCCTAGCTCTTTGGGAGGCTGTGGCAGTCAGATTGCCTGAGCTCAAGAGTTCGAGAACTAGCCTGGGCAACATGGTGAAACCCCATCTCTACTAAAATACAAAAAATTCACCAGGTGTGGTGGTGCACACCTGTAATCCTAGCTACTCAGGCGGCTGAGGGGGGAGAATTGCTTGAACCCGTGAGGCAGAGGTTGCAGCGAGCCGAGATCACCCCTCTGCCCTCCAGTCTGGACAACCTGCCAGAGCAAGACCCTGTTTCAGATTTTCAAAGGGGGGTGGAATTTATTGGATTACATAAATTAAAAGTCCAGGAGCAGGTTTGGCTTTTAGCATGCCCCTTCAGGCGCTCAGACACTTACCAGAAATTGGACTTGAAACTAGTTTGTTCTCAGGCCAGCCCTCTCCAGTAGTGATGAAGATGGCCACCAGCAGTTTTGATCTGCCATTTGGCAAAATGATCAGAAAAATGTAATCTAGGTCCATCAGAAGGCCTGGGAATGCCTCTTACTGGCCTGACTTACACCATATGCCCATCTCTGCATTGGCCTGTGTTCTTTGGCAGGGAAGGGCTAAGGAATACTCTGGCCAGTCTTTGTTCTCTGGCCATCCCAGGAGCCTGGGGCATGGGGTCAGCCCCATCGAACCAGTCAAACAAACAAACAAATTTTTCTAACAGTTTTATTTTTCTTTTTTTGAGACAGGGTCTTGCTCTATTGCCCAGGCTAGAGTGCAGTGGTGCCATCTTGGCTCACTGCAATCTCAACCTCCTGGGTTCAAGTGATCCTCCCACCTCAGCCTCCCAGTAGCTGGGACTACAGGCGCGTGCCACCATGCCCGGCTAATTTTTTTATTTTTTAATTTTTTGCAGAGATGGGGTTTCGCCATGTTGCCCAGGTTGGTCACAAAGTCCTGAGCTCAAGGGATCTGCCTGCCTCGGCCTCCCAAAGTGCTGGGATTATAGGTGTGAGCCACTGCCCCCAGCCACACAAAATTTTTTAAAAAGGTAGGACAGGGTCAGGAAAAGGTAAGCCAGGCAAAACCACAGGTGTGTTCTATGTTCCTTAACACAGTATGTATTTTTTTAAAGAAGAAATAATTTGATTCTACAGCTTCATCCTCCATATTAGGGAATGAGTAAGATGCTGTGCTAAAGGCCTTTCCAGCCCAGGGCAGTTGTAGCCTCCTGTCTTCTTACCATCCTATAGTTACCTTGAGCAGACTTGCTCTCCAGCACTGGGGAGGCGATTCCTCAAACAACAGCACTTCATCTTGTGAATCCTCAGAGAACTCTTGTGCAATGTCTAAAGTAGATATTCTTTCAAACTCTTAGTGTAACTGAACTGTTTTTTTCGATTTCAGTTAATAATGACACTCAGTTGTTACTGTGATGCAGCAAAGATTAAGAGTACATTGCAGGGTTCATTAGGGCCAACCCTGTCTTTACTTCTCTGATAGCCATCCACTTCTAAAGTATAACATAAGTTTAACTAGCATCTTAAACTTACGGAGTATAGCTAAATTATTAACACCATTTTTTGTGCTTGTCTTTAAAACACTAAACATTTGAAACAAGTTACTTTCTCTAAGTAAGCAAAACTGCTAAAAACACTAGTTGGTATTTGTTCATTTTGTAGTGCTGTGATGCCCTTTTTTTTTTTTTCCTGGGCTAGGCTTGCCTTTTTTTTCTTAAATTTATTTATTTTACTTTAGGTGCATACTATATCTGGCATTTCTCCCCGTTTTCCCTCCCCACTCCCCACTGTCTCTCCCCTACCCCCACCAACTGCCCCCAGTGTGTGATGCTTCTCTCCCTGAGTCCACGTGTTCTCATTGTTCGATACCCACCTAGAGTGAGAACATGCAGTGTTTGGCTTTCTGTTCTTGTGTCAGTTTGCTGAGAATGATGGTTTCCAGATTCATCCAAGTCCCTACAAGGGACACGAACTCATCTTGCGGTGATGCCTTTGCATGCTATTAATGCATAATATAGGCGCTAAGTAACTCCCCTCTGACTACTGTGGAGATTGGAGAGTCTGGGCTGAGGGAGTAGCAGGGACACACCACAAACGTTTTCACCTCCCTGAAGCTATGTGGTGACACAGCGAGCTGTTTAGGTTCCCAAACTCCAGTTTTGTACAGTCTATATTGTGTGTTTAGAAATTTGGGATTAGTGTCTTCCATTTTATGCAGTGTGCATTTTTTCCCTGTTTCAGCTCCTCCAAATTCAGGATGTATCTTAATTTATGGCATCAGCAATTCAGTAAAATCATTCCTGTTTAAACCTTTTTTTTTTTTTTTTTTAAGAGATAGGGTCTCACTGTGTTGCCCAGGCTGGACTCAAATTCCTGGGCTTTAGTGATGCTCCCGCCTTAGCCCCCCAAGTAGCTATAAGTGCGTGCCACCACACCCAGCTGCTTAGACATTTGTGTTATGGAACACGGGCTGACCAGTTCCCCTTGTTGATCATTAAGTCTGATAAACTAGTTTGAGGTTACCTGCCTGGTCCCTGTAGATATTCCAAGAAGCTCTGTTATTTCTTTTTTTTTTTCCTTTTTTTTGAGATGGAGTCTTGCTCTGTCACCCAGGCTGGGGTGCAGTGGTGCAATCTCAGCTCTGCCTTCTGGGTTCAAAAGATTCTCCTGCTTCAGCCTCCTCAGTAGTTGGGATTACAGGCCAGCGCCACCATGCCTGACTAATTTTTGTATTTTTAGTAGAGACTGTGTTTCGCCCCCTTGGTGAGGCTGGTCTCAAACTTCTGACCTCTTGATCCGCCCACCTCAGCCTCCCAAAGTACTGGGATTACAGGCATGAGCCACTGGGCCTGGCCAAAGCTCTGTTATTTCTTACTGATTTTTAGGTACACATAGAAACTCCCCAGTGGCAAAGCTAATTTATCTGTTGTTGTTTTTAATCACGAGTTCTCTCCTCTCCACTATCAAGGCTCTTCTACTTCCTGTTAAGTCTCTGTTATCTTAAGAGATAAGTTTCTATTATTGTTATTAAGAGGTACATTTCTCTTGTTAAATTTGAACTGTATCTATGTTGTAATAGTAAAGGTAACTTAATCCAAAGGACCTAATAACAGGAAGTAATGTGTCTTATGTATATGTATGTATGATGCATACATAGAATACATATCAGTTTGTATTCATTTTTTGTAGGGACATACTGTGGTCTCAGTATATTTGTAATTTTGAGTTTCCTGGTGGATTTAGTGAACTTTTTCTTTTTGAGGTGGAGTTTTACTCTTGTTGCCCAGGCTGGAGTGCAATGGCACGATCTCAGCTCACCACAACCTCCACCGCCCCAGGCTCAAGTGATTCTTCTGCCTCAGCCTCACAAATAAAGCTGGGATTACAGGCATGCACCACCACACCAGCTAATTTTGTGTTTTTTAGTAAAGGCGGGGTTTCTCCATCTTGGTCAGGCTGGTCATGAACAGGTGAACTTATTTAATTGGTTGTCTTATTAAATAGTTAGAAAAATAGTGGAAAGATATGCCTCTCTAAGTAGGTAAGTAAGTAAATAATGGGAAGCCAGAAACCTAAATAGATAGTTTTTCCCCCTTTGTTCGTGGAGTCAGGATTGCTCATGTTGGAAACCAGTCATTCAGGAAAACAGGAAAGTTCTCAGATTCTTTATACTGGAAAAGTTTGCTTGCTTTCTTAATTAGCAGCAACTATAATGAGAATTGATTCAGATTAAATAACCAAGTAGTTAGTGTATTTGTATGGCAGCAATCAGTTCTGTATTCCAAGGATTGATACCCTAGCAATGAAACACTGTTAAAAGAAGGTGATTAGAACTAGGATATATATCCATTCCCTGGATATACTCATAGCAGGACAAATTTAGATTCCTGTCTCATGAGAATTTGTAAACAGCTTTTCTGCTAAAGCAAATGGATTTGAAGTCCTTCAGAGACTCAGTCTTGAGTAGAGAGGTTGTGGGGAGATCACGTTTAAAAATGAATTGTGCTGGCCTTCCCCTTGCAGAAAGCAGAAAATGGAGATTTAAATTGGATAATACCAGACCGATTTATTGCCTTCTGTGGACCTCATTCAAGATCCAGACTTGAAAGTGGTATGTGACACTATGGCATCAATCTCATTGTGTTATTCAAAGTATCTATCCATTATTTTCTTTTGAAAATGTTACACCAAGCTTGACCAAGTCTTATTTATTTAAGCCTACTTGGTCATTTCAGTACATCATTCTGACTGGATTTTAACTTTCTTTTCATTTTGTTGTTTACAGTTACAATCAAATTGGAATTTAATTCCCAGTCCAGATACTGTTTCCACTCAATTACAGGTGAAACTATTAGCTGTTGTTTTCTTGATGCGTTTTACAAGATCTGGTACATTTCTTTATGTAGGTTACCACCAACATTCTCCCGATACTTATATTCAATATTTTAAGAATCACAATGTTACTACCATTATTCGTCTGAATAAAAGGATGTATGATGCCAAACGCTTTACGGATGCTGGCTTTGATCACCATGATCTTTTCTTTGCGGATGGCAGTACCCCTACTGATGCCATTGTTAAAGAATTTCTGGATATCTGTGAAAATGCTGAGGGTGCCATTGCAGTACATTGTAAAGGTATGTTTTTAGGGGAGGTTAAAGAATAGTATTAATGTCTGAGTATATGAATATGTAGAGACAGACCATATTCATTTAATGTGTCAGAACATGAAACTGTCTTTATTTTTAGAGTGCCTTTAAACCTTTAATTGCCTATGAAAAGTATAGTAAATTAAATTATTTTCATAAGTAATTCTGCAAAGACTCAGCACATTGAAATGCATTTATTTATTCCTCAGATGTTTATTGGGTACATACTATATATAGTTAAATTCTAGCATACATCAATGAGTAGCATAGACTGTAAGAGCCTGTCTTTATGGAGACTATATTCTTAACAAGTTCCTCTGTTTTCAGCAATTATACAGTACCTGACACTTAATAGACCTTTTTCAGTAAATGAACAACTGTACAATATTACATGGTATGTATGTAGTAGGATTTATTTAACTCTCTTTTTTTGTTAGATAGTTAATTAGGAAACAAGGAATATAGTTTAGATACAAAAATCCAATATTGAAAAAAAGCTCAGCAAGCCCTGGGGAAAGGGAGAGACTCATCGCTAGAGTTACTGCTGTATTTGTAGTTTTAAATATAATGACAAACCATAATGCTCACATGTTCAGTTTTTATTGACGAATCACAAGGCATACAAAGAAACAGGAAAGTCTAGCCTATTCAAAGGGAAGAAATAAATCCAGGCCAGGCACAGTGGCTCACACCTGTAATCCCAGCACTTTATCATCAAGGTGGGCAGATCAACTGAGGTCAGGAGTTTGAGACCAGCCTGGCCAACATGGTGAAACCCCATCAACAAAAAAATTAGCCAGTATGGTGACAGATGCCTATAATCCCAGTTACTCGGGAGTCTGAGGCATGAGAATCACTTAAACCTTGGGAGGTGGAGGTTGCAGTGAGCCAAGATAGCACCACTGCACTCCAGACTTGGTGACAGACAGAAAACAAAAAAAAAAGGAAGAAGAAGAAGTAATCCACACAAGCTGTCCCTGAGAAAGAATAGGTTGTGTACTTAGTAGGCAAAAAATTTTAAATAACCATCTTAAAGATGCCCAGAGAGTTAAAAGAAAATGTTGGAAAAGTCAAGGAAACGATCTATGAACAAAATGCTAATATCAGTTATAAAAAGATAGAATACAGGCTGGGCGCGGTGGCTCAAGCCTGTAATCCCAGCACTTTGGGAGGCCGAGGCAGGTGGATCACGAGGTCAAGAGATCGAGACCATCCTGGTCAACATGGTGAAACCCCGTCTCTACTAAAAATACAAAAAATTAGCTGGGCATGGTGGCGTGTGCCTGTAATCCCAGCTACTCAGGA